GGGCGGACTCTTCACGCCTGTGTAATTCTAATTTATGTCAACTAGAAATCAAAGAAATTCCAAGAGGCTTTGGTCATAGGACATTGGGGTGGACCTTTCAAAATCTATTTATGTCTATTCCTTAAGTAATGTGGCCCCCACAGCCTCCTGGCGCCTTTATGGGCCAAGGAGAAACAGCCTCCCGACAGAAGGGCAGCTACCTGCTCCAGACAAAGGCGGAGGAGTGCAGTTAGGTAAGCGGAGGTGCACTTTCTCCGTCCTGTCTACAACTCTTTAGGGACGTAAGAACTAATAAGCATTTTAAGCAAAATGCTTTGCCAAGAGTGGCTCCCTCAATAACGCTCTTTAATGATACCCAGACGCTGGCATTTTCAAATCAAATGAACAGTGTATAAAATTAGTTCTGCATGAAGTTGAAAAAAAATAGTAAGTGAAAGGGAGCTTTTAAAAGCTCCAGCATTTCTCCATCCAACTGCTTTTCACAAAGGTTTGGCATATGAGAATTGTTACATTTATGATGTTATTCGCTGCTCATAATTCAGGCCCTCTGTCTCCAAACTTCTGTATTAACATGCACTGCAGAGGTTTCCACCACGACGTTTTATCACCGAGGTTTCCCAAACCAGCCAGGTTGCCTCTGGCGAGGTCTGGTTTCTCAGCCAGAGCCATGGCCACTAGGCTCCCTCCCTTTTCATCAACCTTGTTACCCCAAACATTTTTCATTAACTTTGAACACTGCATTTCCATTTGCCTACAGCTTTTCCATGGAATTTTTTTGTCTTTTTCAGTTTTGTTCTCCATCCAAACTGCCTTGTAAGAAATGAGGAAAATATATTATTAGAAGAAAGATCTATATTGACTCTAGAATTCAATGAAATTGTGAAAATGATTTCTATAACCAAAGCCACTGTCTATAATTAAGGGAAATAGAGTAAACATATTGCTCTTATTAGAGAGTCCTGTTGATTATACAAGTAGTTTTTACTAAATCACCAAGTAAACGCGTGTTAAGTTGATAGGTGATTTCAGGTCAACTCTAATTCACAAGGTCAAGTAAGCCTTTGAACGGCCTTTAAGAATATAAGTTCACCCCAATTCATCAAAGCCGTCTCACACAGCGTTTTCTTCTCTGGGTTCTTACAATGCACTAAAGTTTAGGAGATTAAGTGGTGTTGGCTTCAAAATCCAAAGTAATGCCTCTAACATGCTTATCCATCCAGCAATCAGAAAAGCTACTCAAACAGGGGCTTCCTTAATGCACTCCCTAATTTTACACATGCTCGGGGAACACCACATTTGTCAAACGGCTGGGGGACTCCTCCCTAGGAGTCACCAGTGTTGCAGCCAAACAGATTTTACTGCTATTTTGCTTCCACATTGTCTGATAATCGAAGTACATGCTGCTTTCATCTGCAAAGAATAGGTTTAATGTTTCTCATCTGTTCTTTGCTTACCTAATGAGAAAAACGGAGGGAAAACACTTTCCTACAACAAATACAATGCACTTTGTTATTCTTACAATTTCTCCAAAGCTCAAGTGAGGAAAAAAGCAGAAGTCTGGTAAAGTATAGCTTTCAAATTAAGTGTAAGTGGCCCCAAATGAAACTGACTGTATATGAAAGAAAATATATCTTGCCTTCAATATTTCTCAGAACCACAGGCGCACAGAACACGCATCCTGGGACATGGATGTCACAAACCCCATCTCTTCCCAGTACAGGGGCATGGAACAAAGGTCCTGACAAGGGGGTTAATTGTGCAAACCATTGAGATCTCTTGCCCACTCCACTGGCTCCAGAAAGGGGACGGAAAACTCAAGTTAATGAGTTATTAGTGGTTAGTCTATTTGGTTAAGGTACAGGGAGAGAAGTGAAAGGCTCAAATTAAATTTATTCTTTAATTCTTTGTTGGCAAAGATGATAACACTGAAATAGCGAATCTTCATCTACATATCCTAATTCAGATTTCTCTATTTCCTGTTTCTATTCTTATCTTTTCCATTATTTTTCTTATTTTTTTGTTTCCCTATTTGAATCATCTTATCTCCAACTCACCCTTTTGTCTCTGCCTGAATTCGTAAACCGATCCCAAGTACAGTGTGTCCCACAGACACCTTAGTCTTCCTTTGTAAAGTGTGTGGAAATGTGGTTACTGACATCTTTGTACAGAAGAGAATCTTAATTTAAAATTAAGTGAGAAAAAAGTAAAAGGGCAAAATTTCTGTAATGAGTTTATTTTTTTCCTCTCATTGTAACTTCCTTTCAAAACGGGATAGCGGGCAATACGTTATTTTTTTTCTTACTTGGAAATTCAGTATATTGATTATTAAGCCACAGGCTGAAATAATGACATGTTTATGAGAATAATCAGTAACACTGAGCATTTATGTATAGCACACATTATTCTAAGGGCTTAATATATATATCTTCACTAATTTAAATGCTCACAATTCTCTAAGATAGGTACTAATATGTATCCTCATTTTACAACAAGGGAACAAAGGCACCAAGATGTTAAATAATTGCTCAAGATGACACAACCAAGTGTTGAGACCAGATCTGAACCTGAATTCTGGCTCCAGAGTCCCTACCTTCAACTACTAACTGGTTTTCTTTGTTATTCAAATCTTTCTTTGAATCTTGATAAAAATTAAAAATCTGGAGATGAATAGCATAATACAAATTTTGAAAGCTGAACAGCTATTACTCTAGATTTCCATTCAACTAAATCAACCAGCAGGCGCTTATGTGCAAGGTTTTACTTGAACTTTGTGTATTGTTTTGAAACAACTTCATCCTCACAGAACCTCTCATGTTTGCCTCTGAGCTGTCTTAAGCTGAGGGTGCCAGGCAGCAAAACTGGGCCCCATATCCCCTGCCCTGGCCACGGGCTAAGGTTAGACACATGGCACTAGAGCCAACATGCTTACAGAGCAGCTCTCGAGTTGGAGAAAGGATTCAGAGGCCTCAAGAAACAGGCTAAAATCCTCAGGAGTACTGCCAGACAGAATGGCCACCCCATCTCACTTTGAACTAACTCGTATTTGAGTAGAAAAGGATTCATTTTCAACTGAAAATTAGCAACAGGCTGGTCAGCGAATATATCTGAAATAATCTTTTCCTCTACTAATATGAATATAATTTTTTAAATGTTAATTCATTATTAATTAATTTAACTTTTTTCAATTACAGTTTCCACTTAACATCATTTTGTATTAATTTCAGGTGTCCAGCATAGTGGTCAGACAAACACATATTCCACAGTGATCCTCCTGATATTTCCAGTACCCCACTGGCACCCGACACAGTCATTACAATATTACTGACTATATTCCCTTGGCTGTACCGGTCCTCCACATCCCCATGACTGTTTTGTAACCACCAATCTGTACTTCTCAATCCCTTCACCCTTTTCACGCAGTCCCCCAACTCCCTCCATTCCGGCAACCATCAGTCTGTTATCCGTATGTGTGAGTTTGTTTCTGCTTTGTTTAGAACATACATTTCTACAATTCATCTCTGACAGTGGAGCTGAGCTCAACAAATCTAAAGGCTCGAAATGTGGTGATTTTGAGAATGATTGTGGATACAGCCATTGGTTTTGAATGCATCCATTTTTAGTGTCCTTGGTTAGGTAGTGCTCATATGGGAGTTTCTTCTGGAGGAAATTGAGGAGCTCTACTGTAATTGTTTAACATTTCTAGAATCCTCTGCCCAGTGTGGACCCTTTAATTTGTTTTAAAAGAATTTCATTTTGAAGAGAGAGAGTTAGTAGCAGTGTTAGTTAGTAGTGAAATTTGAGAGAGACTTGCAACCTCTGGGTCTCAGTGCTGTTGCTTAGTAACAAAGTCAGTCAGCTTTCTAGGCTGCGATGAGACTATATAATAAAATCTCTCTAAACATAACCAACTGGCAAAGGCTTAGTATAAGTTGGGATTTTAAAAGCATTTGGAGAAAAAAACTAGGTCAATTAACAAAAATGACAAAGCACACAAAGGATTTGGGCAATTTTTCTATCCACCCCCAATTTTGCTACATTTAGAAAATGCATGTCCTTTGAGGGGCATAGGTATTTAGTTTCCCTCTCTTTTACTAGATATGGCCCCAATTACCATTTGCAAAAGTAGCACAAATGTGTAAATCATTATTAAGAAGCCAGCATTTCCTGAGCAAGTGCATGAGGTGGATCTTTCCCAAGGAAACAGTTTCTGTGCCCGGAGACGCCCGAGGATGTGCCGCAAGCACTGGACGTAACCTCCCTGGACCCGGGGCAACATCTGGGATGAGTGGCCTTGAGCCAGTGCGTGTCCTTCTGAGATTCTATGTTCTCCTCTTCACAGTCTAAATAACTACTTCTTACATTTGTTACAGGGAAAACATCTGTAAAGCTCCCCTACTAAACGTGGCCTAATTTCCCAGACTCAGGCTAATGTCTCTAGGCCAGCTCCACGGACCTACAGTATGACCTCTGGGACTGTTTTTCATCATATGTTAAAAGATGGCATGTTAAGTGTGGAGAGACGCAAATTCCCACATAACATGCCCACAGTGACTACCCTGCTCAGATAGTGAGCACTGAAATTGCAAACTTCAAATGAAGAAAAAACAATCTGGCACTTTCTTTCCACCTTACCGTTGCAGGAAACTTGGAACCCAGAACAGGATTTTACTAGTTGACTCTGTACACTACAGTGTGGCATGAAAACATAAATTTTGGTTCATGGACTTTATGGGTAGGAGTTGACTGTAAGTACAATTGTTTTTTCTTTCTGCTTCAGCACAAAATTCATTTTTAAATGTAGAAATACAAACATAATCTTGGAAGAGTTTAGAGAATCAGGCATCTTACAATGTGCAGCTGTTAATAGTACATGTATATGCATGTTTACCTATATACCTACACACATATATATGCATACATACATACATATAGAGAGAATATGATATCAAGCTGTTAACCACACTGATCTATAGAAAACAAACTGGAAAGGTAGCTCTTACTTTATCGCATCTCATCAGCCCCAAATATCTGAGAGACTTGCTGCTCTGTGCAATCAGGGTGGCTCCTTGATCTGTAATTTCTTTACACCATCCAACATCCACAGTCTCTATTGTCATGCTGTATCGCCCAATGGCTATCAGTGCTGCAAGAAAGGACAGGGAGAAGGAAGGCAAGGACTAACGTTAGCAGTGTAAGGGATCGCTACCTTATCACGACTATTTCTCCCATTTCCTCACTAAATTTGTTCCTGGAATGTGATGTAAAATAACTGTTTTATAACAATTAAATTTAAAATGCTTTAGGAAAGCTTGCCCTATGCCCAACCCTTTCACAAGGTGAATAATCATCCCACAATTTCCCTTTCATTGAAACACAACCTCATAACCTTTTATCAGTTTTCCTCTTTGCAAGGTTACCTGTACCTTCAAACATTTGTATCTGCAGACGGAATCAATTAAAATGAATTACACATAAAACATTACAGGAAACCCCAGGTAGTAACTAAACTTTACTCATGACAACTTTAATAATTTTTTAAAAGAAAACCCCACATAAACACCATTTTGAGGTGTGTTATACTGCACATGAATTTCTTTATCAATTGGCATAAAATTTTCCATCTGTTTATGATCTGTAAAATGTAAGAATATATAATATTTTTCACATTAGTCCTTCATGGGACTGTTAGGAATTAAGAGTACATTACACATACAGTTGAATTTAATTGGTGCCATGTTAGAGTTCAGCAAAGGGAATGCATTTACTATGGTGAATTTCTTCATTGTATCAGCATCTTCCTTCCATTAACATACAAAATGAAACCTGTTATCTGAAAACTATGAAAGCATCTGCAGTCTTCCTGACTGCTTAGCACTGCAGCACCACCAGTGTGCAGACACGCATCCCATAATCTTGGATGTGCACTACCCATCACCCATCATAACCCACCGCCCTGTCAGTGACCAGTAAGTGAATGTGGTGAATGTGGCTCGTTGCTATGGACTGCTGATTTGACAGACATGCATGCCTCTACATTCGTGGAGCAGAAACACAGATTTCAGTAGCTCCATCCAGAATATGTTTACGGTGCATTGGTATGTAAATGAAAACCCTGAAAACAATGCAACAAATATTAAAAAGGAAGGAGAAATTGTCTGCTAATTACTTCCTCATTCCAAGATAGGATGAAATGACTGACTAGATTGATAAGAGCAGGGTGAATTTCTCATGTAAATAAATGTTAACTCTTACAGCTCACAGAAAAGTACACTTGGCAAAATCACTTTGTTAATTACCTGAGTTTTTTTAACCAGAAAACTCATTCTCATTCATTCAAGTATCAAAGACATATTTCAAGCCAAAACCCCCCCCCCACAATCATGATCCTACTATTTTCCAGTGAAAATGCTATAAAGGAAGAAAAGAATTTTTTCCTGGAAGTTCTTCATGCCACGAATTGGAAATGCTCTCAACTTTGCCCATGCTATTTTGGTATTTGGTTTTCCCAGAAGGCAAGGCAGGGCAAGGGAGGAATCCACCAAAGTTTTGCCGAAGGGTCTGAGTGACATTTTCATGTAGTAGAAGTACCCCAGGTTAAGCTCATTGGTGTCCCTGACCTAAGAAAATAGCTGTCATCTCTGGTATTGCCATAACTGTCATTGGTTATGATGTCCTGAGGATTTCCTATGATGAAAAGAGTAGAAGATACATAAAAGAAATTCGTTTCAATACAAAGTACTCAAATTGTGATTTTAAAAAACCACAAAGCACAAGTTGCAAGGTGGCCCCAGGTCACTAGATTGTGCACTTTTATTGAGGTTTGAGGCTAGAACATGAAAGCTCAGTATTAGGTAGAAAAAGGTAAACAAAATAATCTGAGTTTTCAGAGGCTGCTTTATAAACAAATGAAGAGTGAATAGCTATTTATTCTAGTTGCCAAAATCACTGGTGTCCAAATTAAAGTAAACAGTAAATAAGACACCTGAAGATAAATTAGGCATTCTATTTATTAAAGTAAGAAATACTGTTGTTTAACTCATTCATTTATTCAGTAACCACCTGAGAAGCACTCACTCTACAGCCTTCTCCAGTATGTATTGACTATCCACACACTAGGCACTGGGCTAAGGAATTCAGGTGCATTACCTCATGTAATCCTCCCAGCAGTTATAAAGTCTTACTGTTATTTCCATATTAAAGATCAGGAAGCTGAATCACAGAAATATTGAATAACTTTCCCAGTATAACAAGATAGTAGGTGGGGGGATGGATAATAAGCTGAGAGCTGGCTCTCAGCCCTGAATGCACATCAGAACTACTAAATCGGAATCATGGGGCCGGGCAGCCTGCAACTCTAATGCTCTGCACTGCCAGCACACAGAACTGTGGTGTGTATTACACATGGGGCCCGTGCTGGGTGTGGGGGACAGAACGATTCACAGAGCTCAGAGGCTAGATGAGTGGGCGTGGGCGGTGGAAGGGTTGGGTAGAAACGAGAAACAAGTGAGTAGACAGTCACACTGCTTGTATCTCTTCCCATGTCTAACCCCTCTCACTTTCTAGATCTCAGGTGAAAGGTCAGCTTCTCCGAACAGATCACCCAATCACTTATTACTGCTACTGGATATGTTATTTATTTATTTACTTCTTTTGTGGCCCACTTCCCCCATTACAAAGGCAGTTCCTATTCACTGCTGTATGTCCCACATTTAGTATGTGCCTAGTACAGAGGTGTTTCTTAAAAATATTAATTGAACATGTCAGTGGCTTTAATATGTTTAGATCAATTGTACAGGCATGCCCAGGAGGCCAGGGAGCCCCTCACTCTGCAGGAGAGGAGAGATATAATGGGAGCTCTCACAGAGGGCTAAACTATGTCTAGAAAATTCTCCAGACAAACAAAGGAGTAAGGGCAAGTATGTAGGTCTACGGAAAAGCATGTGTCAGGGTAGAGAGATGTGAAAGAACAGGGGAGTTGCAGGTCTTTCTATGTGCCAGAAATAAAAGCAAGTGCAAGGAAGTGGAAAGACTTATTCCAGCAATATTTATTCATGATTAGTAGCACTGGGGTACACCTATGAGATATAAAGAGTAGCAAAAATAAGAATCCTCCATGTCATGAAGGTTATCTTCTAATGGGTGAAACAGATGTGAAACAAAGTATATATGACTCTAAATTGTAGCAAGTGCTCTGAATGAAATGGACTGATTGCTGTAAAAATAACATTTAGATGAGAGGTACTGTGGAAAAGTGTTTCTGATGAAGTTATTTTTACATATCCATTTTGGAGGTAAAAAGCCTGAGGTTAAATACCTCACCCAGGTCCCATCTCTAATCAGTGGCCGAGCCAGGGTGCACACTCAGGCAGTTTGTTTTGTTCAGAAGCCAGTGCTCATTTTACCAACAGCAGCGGCACCCAGGGTGGGAGAGGGGTCTATGTGTGGTAAGGAAGTATTTCCCTTTACCACAATTCTGGAGTGAAACATTACAACTTACAGGCAGCCCAGTATTTACTTGGTAACTGTAAGATTCTGATAGAATCTTTAAATTCTAAAATGAATACTGAGTAATTTTATCTTTCTGTGACTATATCCTATCTTTGGATATTTTTTCATTGTTCTTCATCAGCTAGCTGTGAAATGTGTAGTGGGGTTTCAAATTCTCTTGTGGCCACACAGTGAAGGAGATGTCTGACCTCAGGATGACATTTAACACTTCGGAGTCTCAGCTTCCTCACCTGGACAATGGGGATGTTGACTCCATGTCCTGCCCACTTCACAGTGTTGGTCTGAGGTTCAAATGAGATAATACATGCAAGGGACTTTGCACTACATAAATGTCATGATTTATTTGATATTGCCCCAAAGCATTCTACAGTAGTGCAGTTGATATTAAAAGAAAAGACTTAAAAGAGTTTTGAAAAATAAAAAGCTCTGGGCAAATGAGAGCATTATGTAAGTACTCAGTCATTATGTCGCTGCTTGAATTCTGGAACTGCCTATTTTCCACTGGGGTTCACTGAACCTGTGGACAGAAACTGGGATGATAGGGCCGTAAATGTGTATGTGATTACTGCCTTCATTAGAGACTGTTGACACATTACAATGATATTTACTGAGCCTTGAAAAGGGATAAATTATGCAAGACTACTTCCTAGTCCCCATGCAATTTTAATATACTTTTTATGTGCTAAGTGCAACTAATAAAGTTAAATTTTAAAAAGTTACACAAATAAAAAGCTGTGATTCAGTAACTTATATGATGATCAAGAAAGGACATAGATGAACCCCCCCAAGGCATTTCCACAGTCATGTGGAGTGACTGAAAGACATGAGCACATGTACACTTAATTCTGACTAAGAAATCACACCTAGGAATCCACCCCCAAAATACACTTCTAATTAAACAAAATTACATATATACAAGTTTGTTCATTGAAGCATTGATTGTACTTGCAAAATGCTAGAAACAGCCTTAATGACCATAATAGGAAAGTAGTTAAATAGACTATGCTCCATTTTCACAACTGAATACTTAGCAGCTGAAAAAAAAAAAGGGGTTATATCACCAGAGACTTCCATATCATTCAGTGAATAAAGCAAAGTGCAAAAGAACTTACTTATATGGTGTCCTACCACCATATAAAAGGGAATACCATAAAAAAGCATGAATCTGTTCATTTGTGAAAAAGGAATACAGGAAAGATAACCAGAAAATACAGAGACCATTTAATTATAGGGATTTGTGGGAAAAGAGAAGAAAGAAAAGAGCACAAAATACAGGGATGAAAGGTGAGGAAAGACAGACACTTCTGGAAATACCTCTTTGGCTACAGTTTTGATTCTGTGAACCATGGTAATGCTTTACATACCTCCCAAAATAAAGAGAATTAAAGCCAACTAGAATGTCAGGGCACCTGAAGTGGAGTACAACAGTAACAAATAAATCCTAATTGTATTACAAATGAACAGCATGAACCTGCCAAATAATGTAACCACACTGAAAGGGATGGGAATTAAGTTGCTTTGGAAAACATAATTTTGACTAGATATTATAAAGTGAAACACCAAAAAGAACTGTCAGCAAATACTGTACTCTAGTTAGTGAATCTATTTCCCACAGGGGTATGAGTAAGCAATTTA